CCGAATCTAGAGAATAGAAATTGACTTTAAACTTACCCTAAAATCAATAGCCCAGAATACAGAATTATAAACACACCAGTTCTCTACAGAAAAACAGCCACTGTCAAGCAAAGCAAAGTCCTTTGACTGAACAGGATAGCTTCATAACCTAATCCCACCGAAAGAAAAATTTAGATTCCAGACAAAGAATACAACTCCTGATGAAATGTCAGGCCTAATCATAAAGAACCTCAAAATATAGCCAAGGGCTCTAATGACCTCCAGTGGTAACAAGGAAAATTGCTTGGTTTGTGAGATAAGAGACCAGAGCACTATGCACCACGAAGCTATTACTCAATTGTGGGTATGAGATTTGGTCTATTACTTTCTCATGGTCAAAGCTGCAAAGATGCAGTGAAAGGAAGCCCCACCACCTGTGAGAGTTCCCTCCCCTCTGCTTTTTAAGCACTGACTGAGGAGCTTATTTGTCTGTGGTATGTCCCTGCAGTCTCTTCAACAGAGCCAGGAAGACATGTCTCCAGTGATTCCACGACTCCACCAGGAACAGCCGTTTAACAATTCACTGTGGCTGCATGGACACAGGAGAAAATTGACTGTGGTTAAGGTGAGCAAGTAGGAGGGAAAGACAAAGTGGTTGTGGGAGAGGTGAACAGGGAGTGGAAGGAAGCAGGACACAGGGATGGCAAACTAAAATAAGCCGATTTGGTATTGAGCACCTCATAATACTTTTGTGCTATAACCAGGTTGTAGTGAAAGAAACCAATGCAAATAATGCCAACCTAGAGTTTTGGGGGGTTTTTTTTGTGTGTTTTTTTGTTTGTTTGTTTTTTGGCTGAGCAAGTAAAATTTTAATGCTCCCGGGCAGCAGCTGAGACGGAGCCCCTAGGGTGGGGTCTGCAGCTACTGCCCGCCAACCTGGAGTTTTACTAAACAAACCCTGGTAAGCCCAAACCACTTCAGAGCGCCTCTGTAGGCTCGATGAAGTCCCAGCTCTCTGTCCTTTGGGTGAAAGCTTCACTAAATGGAAAAAAGCCAATGTTCCAGAAACAGGATTCTATTATTACCCTCATTACTGGCTTCAGGCTACCAGAAACCCCCAGACTGACAAGGCAATTAATTCATCAATTTGGTGATAAACCTGAGAAACCATCTTTAAAACTGCTGCTACTGGCCAGAGTAGATTCTTCAACCAGGTCCAGACAGACTGGAGGACTCTAGAACATTTTGGTTGGATCGCCATATCTGACTACCTTTAATTTCACCAGAGAGTTCATTGCTAACATTCATCTGGCCAGTTAACAGCTACTAGTTTCCTGATAATGACTAACATGTGATATTTGCTGTGCTAATTAGCAAAGTATCTGGCAATAACAGAGACATGGTGACCTTTCCAATATGATCTGAACTAATCACTTCTCGATTATTAATTCCTGATCAGAACACTAGCTGCCCCTGGGTGTAATTTCAACGAACACATTCAAATGTCACACTCTCTCCACTGGAGTATTTGCAGCAAATTACAAACATTAACAGGAGGGAAGAGTAAGAATAGGACCTTCTGGCAATCAGGGTCCACACAATTCCTACACATATTCCAAAATGCTGCTATAGTGACCAGCTGTGTACCAGATACCTAACTCAATGCCTGTCTGATAGTTCCATGGAGAATGTAATATGCCACCAAAATGTAACATATACTATGAGAATATATAGAAATAAATAAATTAAACTTAAAATTTCACTGACTGGGCTATTTAAACATCCCACTGTGGTATGGAGGTGTTAAGGCCCCCGCAACAGGAGGGAGGCTTCAGAAGAGTCTTGATCAACCTTAAAATATAAACTGTTTATTTTTTTTCCTGGGGGGGGGCAGGTAGAGGGAAGGGGAAGGAATGAAGAAATCCTTGACGATCATATAAACATTTTTATTGTATTTTCTTTAAGAACAATAATGCTATCACTAGGCTATATTTACCTTATTTGTGACTTAGTACATTGTAAAAAAATCTTGACAAAGAACTCTTGACGTTGCTTGTTGGTCCAGAGGTCAAACCAGTGACTTATGAGAGCAACTCTTTCCTGAAAGAGCTAGAAGGGGGAGAAAATGACATTTTCCTGTGTAGTTCAATATACCCGTGGTTGCTAAGCATCCATGGATTATCTAACAATCTCACGGCTAATATTTGCAGAGCACATTATAGTTCACAGAGCGTTTTCACATATGTGCCTGGGGTCTCTCTCTTCAGCTTAAACTGTTTTAATCAAGGGATAAAAGACAAGTCTCGGCTTGTTGAGGGAACTGGTTGGGAAAGCTGGGGGTGAGGGGAGAAAAAGTTACAGACGGGGCCAAACAAGGAAATATGCACCCTGGTTCTTGTTTACTCCCAAGGCTAATGTGGCCTGGGGAAACAGCTCCCAAACATTTCATCTGGAAAGCACATCCAGACCACACCTCTTTACTGTGCAACAGGCGCACCTGCAAAGCAGCTTGACTAGACCACAGTTTTGGGTCTTCATAGCTCCTGCCAGCTGAAAACAGCTATTGCTACATAGCCATTGTTAGTGTCTCCCGGGAAGACAAACACTAAGGAAGAGCAAGCCCCTCCCCACCCCAAACCTGGGTTTCAGCCCCACTGGGCTGAGCTGACATAAACAAACTCACTTTCTGTCACTGGGTCAGGCATGAGCCCCTGGCTGACCAATCTCCATCCCTTGTGCACAGGTCTGAATGTTGCATGTGCTCGGAGAGCCCAGCGCCTTCTCCACTGAGATCTCTAGAGCTGCTACTTTCTCTAGAGTGCCTACCTTCTGCATGACCTTTCAAAGGGGGGCATATTCAAGCAACATCAGACCATACAGTTAGCTCAGGATGGGAAAGAGGCGGGAGGAAACATAGAAAAATGATCTCCATATTAAATCACTCTACTTCTTTTAGGTATTTAACAACTCTCTCCACAGCAGGTCACCACCAACAGTATATCCTTCTATCCCCCTCCTCCATTATATCAATAGCAACTGAGTGTGTGTCTTGGAGACTTCTGTTTTGTCCCTGGAGGAAAGGGGAAGCATATTTGAGCATCCCACAAGGTAGGAGTTGGGGCCGTGGATGAGAAGACACCATCTTAGGGCCAGAAATGTAGGTTTATTTTTTTATTCAAACAACTCAAAAACTAAATTATTATTACTTTTTAAATTAAAAGACCCAATACAGCACAATAAATTAACCTTGCAAATTGCACATTTTTTTATTCTAGAGTATGTAACTCACCTGTCTATTTAATGACTTGTTCCTAAAAGGTGTCCAGGCACTGAATCTTGTGTGGAAACTCTCCATTTCCAGGGTTTTCCTGGCTGAATCCCCAGCTGACATCTTAGAAAATTATTTTCTTCTAGTTCTAGGAGCTTCAGGTTTATTTCAATAGATTTTTAATTAAGATTGCCTAGAAACATCCAGTATATTAGTGTTGCTCATACAGGAATTATAGAATTTAAATGACTTGTTTATACTATATATTTATTTAAAGACATATAGTTAATCCTACATATATATGTAATATATATATATATATATATTTTTACACACACGTATTTGCAAGATAACCCACTCAAATGTACACAGGGGCACATGAGCTCCATATCATTGCAGTTTATTCTGTCCTCATCTATTTATATCCAAATATGAATCTAAACCAGAATTGTTTTGAGCTTTTCTAGGAAACTAACTTAGAAATTAGATAGACCCTTCATCAGATAGGACTGTTGACTCTTTCTTTCCATGAAGGGTTTAATAAGGACAACTTGCCTGCCAATATTTTGAGTTACAAGTCATAGAGAAACATCAGGCAAACGTATCAGTTACCTACTGCTGCTTAACAAATCATCTCAACATTATCTCAAACAGCAAATATTATTATCTCAAAGTTTTTGTGGGCCAGGAATTCAAGTGCAGTTTAGTGGGCTATGATGGCACTAGCAAAACACCACAGTCTGGGTGACTGAAACAGGAGACATTTATTTTCTCACAGTTCTGCAGGCTGGAAGTCCAAGATCTAGATGCTGCCAGAGTTGGCTTCTGGGAAGGTCTTGCTTTCTGGCTTGTCGTGGCTGCCGTCTCACTGTGTGTTCATAAGGTCTTTCTTCTCTAAGAGAGAGAAAAGAGAGAAAGGGAGGGCAGCGAGAGAGAGGGTGCATGCCTGCCACTGATTTGGTGTCCCTTTCCTCCTGAGGGACCAGTCCTACTGGATTAAGGCTCTACCCTTACACCTTACAGCGTGTCCTCATTTAATGAGAAATGCTATCTCTCACATTGGAAATTAGAGCTTCAAATTTCAGTGAAGGTGAAGATGCAGAGTGAGGCATAATTTAGTCCATACCAGGTACCTCTGCTTCTAGATCCCCCAGAAGACTGCAGTCAGGGTGTGGGTGAGGACTTTGTTCTCATCTGTAGGATGTGAAATGTGTTCATGTAGTTGCTGACAGATTCAGTTGCTCGTGGGCCATAGGACTAAGACTTAAATTCTTATTGATTATTGGCGGAGAACTTCCCTCAACTCCTCCTTGTCACATGGGCCTCTCCATAGGGCAGTTTTCATGGGCACTGGCTTCCATTTGAGCAAGCAAATGACAAAGCAGGAGAGGACACGAGAGGGAAATCTTGTAACGTAATCTCAGAAGTGCTATACCATCACTTTTGCTTCATTCTAGTAGTTAAAAGCAAGTTTGGCCCTCCCTGGTGGTGCAAGGGGTTAGGATGCAGCACTGCAAATGAGCCACTGCCACTTCAGTGAGAGTTCAATCCCTGACCCCAGAGGTGACCCACATGGCGTAGCAGATCTCTCCTCACCTGCCCGCTGCTCCCCCTCAGCAGTGTACTTCATCAATCTGCCTATTCTACTCCCCACTCTGTCTCTGGTGAATCCTCTTGCCGCCCCTGCACCTCTGGCTTGTACCCAGTTCTGTATGCATAAATAAAGGAATCTTTAAAGAAAAAAAAAAAAAGCAAGTGACCTAGATATAGCCCAGACTCAAGGATAGAAGGCCAAGAACATTGACACATTACTTCACAGTTCAACCTTCTCCCACAAGCAGAAGATACTTCAGCAACCTACAGGGCTGTGAAAAGTAATGATTCTCATTTCAAGCTATTAAATCTTCAGATGGTTTGTTATCTATCACAGATTGACAAAATGATATGTGGGTGAGCATCCAGAACTCCCATATACAGCTGGTGGGAGGATACATTAGTATATGTTGAAAAAGTGTTTGGCATTACTTCTTAGGGTTGAACATATGTATATACTTGACCCAATGGAAATGAATGCACATGTGGACCAAACATATCCACAAGAATATTCACAGCTACATCAGATAGGTCCAATCTGGAAACAACCCAAGCATCCACCAACAGTTGGATGGATAAATTGTCATATATTCATGTCCCAGAATGCCTTACATCAAGGAACAGCCTGCTGCTATCAGAGCAATATAAATTATCATACACATAAGACACTGAACAAGGGCTTGGTAACAAAATTATGTTTCATATGGCTTCACTTATACAAAGTTCTGCACCATGACTGGCAGTTAGGATAGTGGTTACCTTTGGGGGAGAAAAACATGGGGCTGACTAGAAAGAAAAGAGGTGGATCTGGTACTGGTAATGATGAAGTGTTGGGGACCCAGGGAGTTCACTCCATAATTCACTGAGTTCTACATTTGTGAGTTGCAAAACTTTTAATGCCTTTCTGTCTTTTTTTTTTTTTTTAAAGATTTATCTATTTATGCTTACAGAACTGGGATACAGGCCAGAGGTGTGATGGGTGAGAGGATTCACCAGAGACAGTGTGGGGAGCAGAACAGGCAGATCTACTGAAATACATTGCTGAGGGGAGCAGCGGGTGGGTCAGGAGAGGTCTGTCATGCCACGTGGGTCAGCTCCCTGGCAGGGGATTGAACTCGTGCTGCAGTGGCTTTGGAGAGCTTCATCATGTGGTGCTTTAATCCACTGCACCACCAGGGAGAGCCCTGCCTTTCTATCGTAAGTAAGAAATTGTTATGGGTAGAAATGTAATGAATAAAAAAAGTGAAAAAAGGAATCTTTAGAAAGGTGCCATCTGCAATAACATCAAATACTATTAAGTACCTAGAAAAAAATAAAAGTCCAAACTTTATAAAGAGAATTATATAACTTTATTGAAATAATTTTATTGAAAATCATTCTTAGGGACTAACCTTTGTGGCTCAGGGGTTAAGGCACAGCACTATGAAGTTATCCACAGTCACTACAGCATGAGTTTGATCCCCAGCCAGGGAGGTGACCCACATGGTGCAGTAGACCTTATTCTGTTTCATCCATTGCTCTCCTCAGTAGTGTATTTCATCAGATCTGCCTTTTCTGTTCCCCACTCTGTCTCTGGTGAAATCTCTCACCCTATCCCCCTGAACCTCTTGCCTGTACCCCAGTTCTTGTATTCATAAGTAAATAAATTAAAAAAGAAAAGAAAATCATTCTTAAAGACCAAAAGAGGTACTTTATTCATAAAAAGAGATTCTCTCAAATTGATCTACATATTTAATGCAATCTTAATAAGATTCTTGAGATATTGTATATGTTGGGGGGTGTATGTTACTTGAAAAGCTAACTTTAAAATATTTACATAAATTTAAATGGCAAAAAAATAGTCAAGACAGTCTGGAAGACAATAGAAGGGACACGTGTTTCTACCTAGCTAAGCTTACTATACAGTTATAGCTGTGATATGGTTTTAATACAGGGGAATAAAAGAGAAAGTCCATAATAAGTCTTTTATATATGAGCGCTTATTAGATAATAAATCCAAGAAAAAGTGATAGATATTTATAGAGAGTAGACTATGTTTCAAAAAGAGAAAGTAATTGGGCCCTTTCTCACTCTATACACACACACACACACCATTTTTTCTATATTTCATATCAACATATGATTTGTGAATCCCCAAAAGACAAAATTAAAACAACAGAGAGATGTCAGAGAGAGACAGACATAAGTGAGGCAGATTCTGGATCAATCTAAGGGAAAAACAATCATTTCAGCAGCTTAGTTATCTCAAGAGCTGTGTTGTCAGAAATTCTAATATCAGAAGTGTCTAAATGTCTTTCTTTTTCAAACAAGATTTATTTATTCATATAGAACTGGGGTACAGGTCAGAGGTGTAGGGGCAGTGAGACGATTCACCAGAGACAGAGTGGGGAGCAGAACAGGCCGATTGACGAAGTACACTGCTGAGGGGAGCAGCGGGCGAGGCAGGAGAGGTCTGCTGTGCTATGTGGGTCACCTCTGGGACGGGAGTAGAACTCATGCTGAAGTGGCTGCTGCTCACTTGCAGTGTTGTGTTTAACCCACTGCGCCACCAGGGAGGGCCAGAAGTGTCTGAATTTCTAAGTAACTCTCTGTGGCTAAATTTCAAGGAGAGAGAGACCAATATGACCGGGAGTAGATGAAGAGAGTCATCACAGAAAAATCTGAGATTGTGGCAAACATTTGTAGTGCCTACTTTATTTCTACACTTCTGTGAGATAGCACATTTTAAACATGAACATATCAGAATAGCATGCACTACTGAGGAACAGTTTTAGAAATATTAAGAAGGAAGATATGACATAGTGAGCAACAGGTTGGGTCCCCACGCTGACCCAAATAAAAGGTTCACAAGTAATTTAGTCTGGGGTTCAGTTTCCTCCTGCAGGGCAGTGATGTGTCTTGGTAAACAGCAATATGAGAATGTGTTGTTCAGAGAAAAACCCATGGCAATGTGGGAAATTAAATACCTCCTTCTGAAGCAATATTAAATCAAAACAAATCCTTAGTTTCATAAGATGCCCAGCTGTTGTTATGTGAAATCCCTCCAAGAACCAACATAAGGAATTTTTATTTAGCAAGTTCTCAAAATTGTTATTATCCTTTGTGTTAAGGGATTACTGAATTACATAATGAGTGGAACATTACAGAGGCAACAGTGGCTCTCTCTGCTGGTTAGATTACATACGTAAGATAGATAGAAATATGTAGATTTATACAGCTATAAATTTCTACAGAATTCTTTTCATTCTCTAAGATATCAACTTTGCAAGTTATTCAATCCAGGGAGAAAGAACAGGCTGACAGTCCCTACTTTGTTGAGTGGATTAGTTTCCTTTTATATATAGTCCCACATTTTCTATTTCACCAAATTATAGTTCCATAAGTAACTAACAGGTATTCCCCAGGAAAACAGGATACATGATTAAATATGCTTGAGAAATGACTGAAGAAAGTCAAACATTTTTCTTTTGGTAAGACGTTTGCCACTTTGAATATGCTTATGGTTACAATGAAGCTCCAGGAGGAAAAAACCACATATGGCTCTTCCCTTCTTCATGGGAAGCCCATCATGGTTGGTTATTGTATGATGCACAACATATTGTTCCAAAGTTAGCTGAAAACAATAAACCTTTATTGCCTCACAGTTTCTGAGTCAGGATTCTGGGCATAATTCAAAGTCTCTCACAACCCTGTGCCAGCTGGGGTTATAATCATCCCAAAATTGAACTGTGGGAGGATTCACTTTAAATGCATGTAAATGGTTGTTGGTAAGATTCTGTTCCTTTTTGACTACTGTATCAAGGGCTTCAGGTCCTTGCTGTTTCCTAGAAGCTCTCTCTCCACCACCCACTCCTCTGTGGGCTTCTCCATAGCTTAACTCACAAAATGGCAGCTGGGTGGCACCCACGTGAGTGAGAAGGCAAGAAAGGTCAGGCAAGATAGAAGCCAAGGAATCTTTATGGAACATAATCTCAGAAGTGATACACCATCACATTTTCACTACTCAGATTATGGGTCATTAAACATGGTCAGCAGGTCCCCCCCTTTTAAATACATTTTTAATATAGATTATCATGGTTATTTGTATTACTGTCTGTAGTTGCTTTTATACTTTTATAGTTAAGTGTGAGAGATTGACCATAAACATAGTTAAACATAAGGCCTACAAAGTCAAAAATATTAATACCTAACCTTTTATAGAAATAAATTGGCAACCGTTCTCTAAGGGGAGGGAATTCAAAAGGCTACATAACCTGGGTATCACTGGGAGCCATATTAGAAGCTGCATAT